TATAAGCTAGGAAAACATTCCCTGCTGTTGACACTTTGTTAAATTCCAACGAACAGGCAGCGTTTGCTAAAAAATATACGCCCGATACACGCATCTATTTACCAATCAACATTCACTGAGGCGATTGATTGAATGAACTACGAAAAACAAATAACGTACCACACAACATCACGTGTTACATTTTCCCCTGAGCCGCATACATCGATTGATCTGTATCACACTTTCACTGAGATTTAAATTATAAACAGCAATGTATATTACATTCTATGATGAGTTTTCACTCAAATATGCATCTTATAACAACGTGGTACACATACCAATATTATTTCATAGTTTTAGTTTGATGGAAGCTATTAAACTTTCAGTGGACGGGATTCGCTCTAGTAATTTAAAGTTTAAACTAAAAATGGTATAGGGACGCTGTCGTCGATCAGATCGTAGTCTTTTTGCTTGGTATCAGAGTAAAATTGACCTGGAAATAAGTTCTCTTTCAGTTTGACGTTGGTACACTTTATCTAATTGCTACCTAGTTTGAAAGAGTCGCGTTCAATTTGTCCGAATATCCCTGGCTTGACTTATTGAAGTACCTCATACACCTGACATATACTATGTACTATATTATCAGCTTTTATATGTTATCTCAACAAAACTGATACAAAAAATACAACCCTATCTCTGATAATATGACATCCACATTGTAATCTGTCATTTATTAAACAGAATATGTTAATTCTGTTACAACTCAGTTATGTTATTGTCACGTAGGCGACCATATAACTTGTTAAAAGCTGATCATCCCACGCTATGTTGTCATTATAAATGATAATTAGAACCGAACATATTGTACAGTTCATAACCAATTAGAGGCTTAAGAAAAACTACGAAACTTACTAAGACATATAATAAAAATTACATAACCGAAACTAAGACTATGATTACCTCGATGTTGGAATACAAAGATACGCATTGATTGTATGGGACTAGAGTCTTCTGTTTCACATATCCAGGTGTATTTAGTGCTAAGTCCATTGTGTATATACCATAATACGAAATTTAAGTATAATACATATTTTTTAAATGATCTCCATCAATGGCCAGCTTACATAAAGAGGTCATTCCATAACTGGTTAGGTTAGAAAGCGAAATTCTTCGTAATTGTAATGAAACCTAGTTTCATTACAATTACGAAGCTGAACCATATTTAGCATAATAAACATACCATAATCGCTTATAGTCTTCAATGTTATTAAATAGGTCATATAAACTCTTACTAGAACTTACCAATAAAAAATACTTGTTAATATTCGTCTATCCATATCACTTTTGTTTGATTGTCTATATGTAAATTTAGGTACTGCAACACATAATTATTATACTTACCATAGTTTGATAAAACAATATCGTATAACCCAAGTACATTAGAAGCAGCCATTCACTTCTGATTTTTCTTTATCTTAATAAGAAACAGCTGTTTTAACGAATGGATTAAATTAAAACAGAGTGAAATAAAAGGAGTAAAAATTATGAACTAAAGCAATTTTTGCCACCAGTGCTTCAAGAAACGTTTTTATTGCAAATAAAATTATATAATGAAGTTTATAATTAAGACTTTTTCTTGTTTGTAATTACTCTCGAGGAGTATTATGCTAGTTAGCTTGAATACAATTTAAAATATTTCATCATCATTAATGATTGTGAATTTAATTAAATAATATTTGTGTTCTTATTCATTATTGTCTAGTAATTATTCAATATTAGATTTGAATTCTATTTTATTGTTAAACTCTTTAAATCCTGTTCCAAAATCCATCAAAGAAAGTTCGAGACTGCACCAATAGACAATCTTTTGATAACTAAAATTTGTTACCACATACTAAAAGATAGTTTTTAAACATAAGGCAGTCACGGAAAGAAAACCTTTTTTTACATAAGAAAGTTTTTAAAAATAATTTTGCTTTCATATGTTCATTAAAATTACCTATTTATAGAAACAAAGTATTTAGGGTCTTAATTTTATTTAAATAATACGAACAATATTTGGTTTCGGTTATTGCAAAATTTTCATATGATTGTATAGAAATTTCTATTATATTACTCGATGCGATCCAATTTTCACGCCTGTATCACTTCACTTATTATATAAGCTTTAGTTTTGTGATTTTTTTAATTTTTAATGTCATATAAGTGTGTAGTTAACATTTAAATTTTCTACTAAACTTTATACAAATACGATGAGATTCTATACTTAAACAAATGTAAAAAAAAATTACAGGTTCAACGCTAAAGATAATTGTAAATATAAGCTTAATAATGAATCAATGTAGAAAATAAACTATTAGACTTAATATAAATTATTACGAAAATTCTTCTATGTAAGTAATAAACCATCAAAATGCCGAATAAATAGCTAAAATGTATCCACAATACGGCCAGCCGGGCGTATAAAGCTGCGGCCAACAGCCATTTAATAACTCGTTAGTACATAAAGTGTTGCTCTAAGTATTTATGTTAAAGCGATGTTACCGTGCAGCAGACTCGGAATTAATAACACTTTGTACTTGTTAGTGACGTTTTCTATTAATGGTTTCACTAAACAGCTTGTTTTAACCTGACTCAGGCAGGAAATTGGTGCAACCTGACTAACAGCTTAGACGGCAGTGAGCCGGAGCTAAGTCGAAATAATATTATAATAAATTATCAAAACTATTGTATTGTTTAAACTACGAGTTCCTCTCCCAATACATTCAATGTTTCCATTGAAAAAATCCTTCCTTTGCATAAACCTATTTTTATTCCTTTATTGGTTTATATTCTGCAGGCGTTTCTTTAACTTGCAATCCTCGTTTTTTAATAAGTACATACAATTTTGTATACAAGTTTAGTCTAGATGACGAAGCAAAGATAAGTGTGTAACGTCATCGTAGATTCCATAAAAATACATATGTTTAATGCGGCGCTACAATATGGGTGTCATATGACAGAGCTTGCTGGGAATAAATAGAATAAAATCTTGAATTAAAAATATAATTATATGTATTACCATTTTAAATTACACTATTCTTTGTTACTACAATTTGTTTTTGTAGCTCTGAGTGCGATAAACTTTATGCATCCGTTTAAATCGTATCATATTCCCAACACAATTGAAATGACTGTATATGTTTTCATCCCTACCTAAATTCCGTCAGATAACTAAGTAACAGAGATAAAAAAAGTTAATAAATAACTCTAAAGCTTTTAAAACGTTACCAAACAAATAGATCTTTGTGGTAGTGAATTTATGTTAATAACGACGGCCGACTCGACGCTGCGGGATACATTTTGCGGATTTATAGCACTCGTGACACGAAGCGAATTAAAAGTTCCGACTAACAAGAGCACAGTGATGGACGTCACTATCATAACATGTATTCAAATTAAGGTGAGTAACGTATCATGTATAAAAATAAACTTTGTATACCCTTATCTCTGCATTATTGAATCCTCAATCTTGCTAATGTTCTTTGCTTTAAAGGGCACAGCAATTCGCACTTAAACTCCAGTGCTTCAACAGTAAAAGATACGTTAATGCCCATAAAATAAAACTTTAGTGCACAGGTAAGGCTAAAACCACTGCAATTTACTACATACCATAAAACAATAAAGACATTGCTGAGCTCGTATCATAATTTGAATACTAACATCTGGATTTTCTTAGTATGAATAACATTAATTAATAGTTAAAATAATATCAAATATATGTGCTTTATGTCACCAATAAAAAAATCCTCTTTTACCAACGCTCTAATCAAAATAAAGAATTCTATTACTTAAGACTGTTTCTATGTTAAAATGTAATAAATGGAAAGTAGTTACAACGATAAGGTTAAAAGAATAATTTCATAATAATATCCATCTTAATTAAAGGTCATTATAACTTTGCCTAGATCAACATTTCACCTAACATCTTTGTGCATTTTCATATCTTTGTAAAGTTATTTTATATCTTTCAAAGATCTAAGGACCGTCAATCCTTACAAAAAGGATTGGTTAAATCTGAAAACTTATATTTCTCGATCTTGTGGCTAACTCCAATGGATGGGAATTTAAATTTTATCTCAATAATGATAGAGTCTGATGTCGTTTACACATAAAATGTATTTTTGTTAGTATAAGTTATTTGATTTTTTGCTTTCCGTATGAGGATTTCAAAACTTAATCTAGTCTTGAGGAGACGCGATGATACAGACATACCGATATTGGAAGTCTCAGTGTTTACTCTTGAAATACATATTGCTACAAATGAAAGGGAATATTTTAAAATACTTCGTTCACATTAGCTGGTTAAAAAGTTAATATATACAAATTTAAATTGTAAATACAAATGAGATTTTATTTTTATTTTGTTTCTTGTATTCAAGTCTAATACTTTAGACTGAATGATGCTATATTATTTGCTATATAAAGAACTAATTATGTTTGCTTTAAATGTCGTCAAAATATTTACCTTGAAACTGAAGTAATTAATATATGTACAGTCCTGCCGTCTGCCTGATTTTTGCTCATTTCCTCTCCCTTTTCGTTGCTTCCTCCGTGCATGTTAAACGCTTTATTTGAACTGAGTATCGTATGGAGTTTAATGAAGTTTATTCGGATCTCGATTCTGTTTGAACAATATTTTAAATTCGATTATAGTTCTTTATTTGATCTCCACTCCGACGCTCCGCCACGTCTGTAGGGGACGGGGGATACATTTGTCTACGTAAAACCGTTGAGGATTTATTTTTATGAAAAATATTTCGTACATTTAAATATAAATCATATTAATTGTACATTCCTCATGACTGTATTCATTATTGACATCATTATATTTAATATTTATACATTTTTATGATTGATTCATTTGTTTGCCTAAGCGGATTTCTTTGGAATGTAACAAATAAATGTATGCCTAAATTTCAATGTATACATATTATTATCTTTGTGTAGATCTAACGGGAAAGAACCGTTAGTATGGGGTGCTATTGATCCGACACTAATTCCCCTAATCCACTTAGGACGTCTTCCGGAATAAGTTTGAGTGACGCGGGATTGTAAGTAACACGGTCAGCCTAAAATTGTACTTAGGATTATTGATTTTTTTTTTTTGGACACATGTGACGCAATCTATTCTAACTAATAGCAACTGTCAAAGTATACATTGAGACGTTTCGAAAGACGATAATGAGAGCAGTTGGGTAAAATAAAAAAAAGTCTAGAATAATCTAGAACTTTGTTATAGAGATTATACTAAGCGTATTTCATTATTGTAAAAAACCAGAAATTACACATCTCGTCTGCCCGTTATCGCGGTAGCTGAAAAGAAACCGAAACATCTTAAGTATGTATTTTTTTTAAATAATAAAATAAGCGTACTAATTCGAAAATATTAGTTTCATTTAAATATATACTCGCGAAAGTTTTAAATCTAGTTAAATAAATTGTCTCCTTATTTCTTAACAACTTCGATACAACTTGAGGATGTCCCTTCATTAAACTCTGCTAAACAGTTCACTTGCTATAGATGGAATTTAATCAAAAATGATTCCATTAACACTTGATTTATTAACAGACAGACGATCAAGAGACAAAGCGTTCACACAGACGCCAATCAAAACGCACTTTATGGACGTGTAAAACACATCATTAGCAAATGGATCGCCCACAGTGCATTGATACCGCGTTACTCACTAACGATACCGCATGACTTTTAATGAGAACAAACTGACAATTACAATGTATACAGAATATGGATTATATTTAAAATAAACCCAAAATACCAATTATGGTGTTAAACAATGAAAAAGCTTTGGACAGGTCACCAAAGAAGTATATAAATTACGGCCATTTACATCAGCGAAATTCTTTATAGTGATAGATACAAGCGCTATGAATGGCCTTCTGCATCTCAAGCATTCTATTCTTAGAGGCTTCACAGGGAAGCGTCATAGCGTTTATTTATCATCTAATATCCCGCTCCCAGCATTGTGATATGCATCAATAATTCATACAGTCTGAGTTATAGCGACCATCTCCACCGATATACCGACGATTTTAGACGCACTCCTCATTATATATATTATATTATTGTGTGAACTCATGTTTTTATTAGAAAATTCTATACGGTTAGGGTCTTGATGCGTTATCTTTGTTATACGACGTTGAGTCACAATGACTAGACAAGAGATTTTTGTGGTAGGAGCAATAATGAAATTAAATTTACTTTATTTGTAGCGTAAAAGATATTGATTTTATTATAAAAGTCCTAAAAACCGTCTTACATAGATGCCATTAACTTTCTTTAAACCATACACTGGTATTCTTTTCTTCTTGGTCTTAGGTTCTTCGGTATTTTCCATTTCCGCGGTAAGGTCTTGAGGTGCGTGCCAGTCCAAGTTGTCACCATCTGGTGAAGGTTTCTCCAGTAATTTGAAAGCTTCTGTTTCAGTCAAAACATCCTCATCATGATATTTAGATTCCATTACTTTCTGTACTCTGTCCACTTTAACTAGTTTGGATCTAAAAGTAATTTTCGAAAGATTTTCTTTTACATAAAAAAACTAGTCTTTTTTTATATGTACTTACCGTTTCTTACGTTTCTTATTAAATAGATGTTTCTTATTCTTAATTTCATTTATGAAAGTCTCTGCTGCTTTTTTTGCAAACGCCTGGGCCAATTCTGTTATGTACTTAACAGATTTCTCGGATGTCAATGACTCTATCAGATGTTTTGAATCAAGTTTGAAAATAATATCTACATCTCTGGAACAAACGCACTTCAACACAACAACTAATAATGTAATCTTAATAAGCATTTCTGCTTTGTAATAAAACAGGTCACGCTGTTGATTTTCTAGTTATATTTTAATGTTTTCAATTAAAATTCTAATTAAATATTCTTTAGAAATGATAATGTATGTATATTTCTATTGAATCTCCTCCTATTAGTATAATTAGTTGTTCAGCCGGCCCCTGTTCGTGTATCTATGTATCCTTGTACCACTGTAGGCCACACAGCCGTTAATTTCCCTTCAATTACTGAAAGCACTATCCGTGCTCTATAGATGTTCATTATTAATTAGGGAACCCTTTCCAGCTTTGTATACAGATTTCCTCACTACCAAAGGATTATTATTGACACAATTGAACACTATCTATTGTATGTGTATAGAACAAAATTTATATACATATGTCAGTTTTAATGGAATACGTAATATATATATCCTATATATGACATATTAATTTTATTTGTAATGTTAATTCAATTTTATTTCAAAACATTTTACCGGAATGTAATATAAATAATATATAAATCTAGAATTAAGTAATTTTGATAACTTACTGTTTTATTTGTTCATTAAAATAATTTCAACTATTATAGCTTGAAGCACATTTAACATACAAACGAAATGCAGTGGAAGAAAGAACAAGATACAATATATAGAGCAGTCCCGGGGGCAATGAAATGATGCAAAGAAAAAGTATTGGATAATTGTTTTATAAACAAAGATGGCTTTGATTTGTTAACACACATGCATTACGCATACATGCGTTACGAGTACGTCGATAGGTAACTTATAATTGGAGCTTCTATTTTTATCTATGGTAGGAAAAATAAGTAAACGCATATAAAATTCATACATTAAATAGTTGTATTATAAGTACAGTTGACATATAGATTTTTTTAGGAAAGATGACAAAAGACCAGGCGGCCTACTTGATTGCTGGTAATTATCGTCACCTATGGGCATCTGCAAAATAAGGGATGGTGTTGCCAACATATATTGTGGGAGAATTGGAGGAAAATGTGGGTAAAGAGAAAGTGCATTATTAATATTTGTTATTTAAACATTCTAATATACTTTTCAAAAAAAATATTCCTAATAATTTATGTTTTTTTTTAATCTATGTACAATTTAAAAAATACAAAGTTGGTTTAATTCCTCTAAACTCTAAAGTATAAGTAACAAACTATTGGCAGATTTCATTCATTTCTTTGCTGACTCAATATAAGTAAAGAAATATGTATCTTTATTTAAGGTGCCTACATACTCATAAAATATATCTTTGTACAAATATATTCAATGAATCCATCCACACTCGCTAATAACATGTTTAATCTAAAGCTGAAATGTATTTGTTTTAAATTTGAGAAAAGCGTGAAGACCGTCAGAAGTGACAAGCGGTTGAGTCGCGTCGAATGGCTGTGAACAATGAATTCAAACATATGGATGCGCTATTATTAATTCGTTTAAAAATCTTTTATTCTCCCCTCCTTGTTAATAATGGTTATATCAAAAGCGCATTATATAATATGTATAATATTAATTTGTATGCCACTATATATAGGTATATACCGTATCCAAATATATTCGTTCCTACAGCACGCATACCTTTGGAATGGCGTTCGCCTCGACGCGTGGTACGCCTCGTCGCCTCTCGTTCCAAATTCAAACGGTTGACGCGCCAAATTGGAATTGTTTTTCATTTTTCGACTGTAAAACGAGAGTTTTGTGCTTGCGGCTTTGAAAATCGAATAGGGTGCTTTATAATGCCCACATCGAGCTCTTGTTTGTCGAACTGCGTAGAATTTTTAATGCTTCGTAGAATATTTTTCACGGTAAATACAAATTGAATTTATTAATTTTGGTTTTGGAATAAAATCAAATAGGATTATTTTTACTTTATTTAGACCTGAAACTAAAATATTATGCCTGGCTTGTGATATTCAAATAATATTTTCTAAAAAAAAAAAAAAAAGGTACATATGTATATTGCTTATAAATGAAAAATAATAATTGATATGAATAACAGTTAACGTTTAATTTCAGGGTTCAAATTCACTTTTAATATTCCAACAAATCGTCTTCAGATGACATCATAAAACACTTTTGGTATTCAAATAGCAGAGTTTAAATCTAATTCAAAATTTAACGTCTTCGTTTAACATTAAATGGATATTGCTTAGACTCGTTTGGAATTTTAACGGATGACTTTTAATATTCATTCCATAACCGTTTTTTACATTTAAAAGAAACATTAAACAAAATTAAACATCCATTACCGCTTTATTTCTTAAAGATATTATGCAGATGTATTGTTTAATCTGTGGCTTACAAATAAAACGGTCGACTTTTAATCATCCCTAACTCGCCTCAGTAATTATAACTAGGAACTTAATATATGTTTTTAAGCTTAAACATAATGTTATATAGTAAATAACTGTTGCCTTATACAAAAGACATTTAAATAGCAATTTGATAATAGGAAGAAAATATTATTTTATTTTGATTGTTCATTAATTAGTTTAGATAATTATATAAAATTAATTTAAATCTAAAATTGCTAATAAAATTGTATTATCTCCCATCCCGGCTTCGTGAAACAAAATGTCGTTAATCCGGGAATCAAACTTTGAATGCCTTCCACCTAATTATTCAGATAAAATTAATTTTCAACACCATTGTTCTGTAACAATCGTCGACGTCATTCAACTCACCTTATTAATACTGATTCTTAATAACAGATTACATTATACATATATATCGGATTTATTACAAATTCGTTGTTTTTAAAGAGAGAGACGCCAGCCTCACTGACGTCACTAATGTCACTTCTTCCAGTACGTTCCATGATATTTTGAAATGAAACTTTAATTCTTCTTGTTCAAATGTTCTGGTATTTCTCGAAGGTTCTTCATAATCACATTCTTCAATGGTCCGTTTTCACTAAACTGTGCCGTCGTACGTCCAGACGTCATATTTATACTAAACTTCAATCATAATTCTATTCTCCTTTTAAACAATCATTGATTTCGTTTTACTTTTAACAATAATCACGAATACTAATGAGTTTTTATAATAATTGATGACAGCCTCAAGTTATTTTAATGTCGCATCCGTTATTAAAGCAGATAGCGCCGATATACAGGGTGACTGGTGAATTACTATCAATATTTAAGGAGAATACTCGGTACATGATTCTCATTCGAATTATGTAAAAAAAATAGGCACTTAATTTTTGACAAAATTTCCGTATAAATAAATAAAGTGTTGACACGTTCCAAGTGTGGACGCGTGCGGCGGCGTGCTGATACAACACCACGCCCCGCTCGCTTATGTGTGAGTGTGAGTGTATACCTAATCTGTAGGGTGTTCACACGATGCGTAATTAATTACATAACTTTTGGTTAACTTTACTTAGAAGTTTATTAATATTTATGTTATATTAATTTTTATTTTGTCATATATGATCGTCAAATATGACGTCCTCAAGTATCGATAGTAATTCACCAGTCACCCTGTATATAATATAGAATTCTAACAATATAATATTCATATCTTTTGCCATTCTCCAACAAAACCCAATGATGTCGCATTACATTGGCTAACAATAGAATAGCCAGAGAAGTCACATGCTCAGTTTGAACAGGCATTGAAAAAGATAACGCTTATTTCTTTGACCATAAAGGATAATTTCCTTTGTTACATTTAACTCAAACAAGCCAGTGAGCTGGAAAACGCTCAATGTACGTATTTTAAAAAGCCTTTAAAGCATATAACAGTTGTATTTTTTAACAAATGTAGGTCACAGAATGATCGAAAATGAATTTCATCACTCAGCTGTAGCACGTTTTGCCAAAATCGCTGTTTTCGTTGCCAAAATTTAGTGCAGTAATTTAGAAGAAATTGCTATATAAAAAATAAATTTTTATACGTTATTATCAAAAACATTTGGTCCATTTTTGTTATTTTTATTCTGATTATAATATTTGTTAACAACGCCGGGTATAATAAAAAGCAAATCCACGAAGTCTTTAAGGCTATACATAAGATGGAAGGTATTGAAATATGGTTTGAACTCTCATCAACCGGGTTTATCAGGGGCTAACCAAGTGACGCAATTTGTCAGACGAGCGAGCTGTAATATAAGCTGAACACATAAAATAGATGAATATAAAAGGTATATCAGAACATATATTGGAAGGTTTGTAAATAATCAAGCTGAGATTGAGAGAGCAACACATGTTCTTGAACTATTATACCGTTGGTTCATTTCCGTAAAGTTATTTGTAATAGAAATGTTTATACAAAAATAACGCTACCACATAATATAGACAAAAAAAAAATTAAGAATTCTTTGAAGATTAAATTTTATATGAATATGGATAAATATGAATTCGTCCTAAAAAAAAAAAACAAAGTTAAAATTTTTTTCTACTTTAAAAAATATACTTGCAATTATTTTATTATACACGAATATACATTTTTCAAACTGCAATTGCTATCGCATATTGAATTATTGAATTCCAAAAGTATAAGTATTCTAAAAGCCTCAGGGAATATATTTTAGTTGATATATTTTTAAGTTAGTAATCCCACGTAAGATTGTCTCAACACTGAAGGAACTTTCCTTTCTCAACTTGGAACAAATCGGATGATTTGAACGTTTGAGCGTCTAAGTGTTCTTAAGTACTCTTTGTAAACCGATTAGCATATTATTAAGAGACGACAGGACTTTAAAATTAACATATATTTTTGTTTTTAAAACTCTCCCCATTCTTCGTTTACATTGTTATATCTTTACTACAGTATTTGTTAGAAATATTCTTGTTCAATACAAATATTAAGTTTTTTGGAAAACTTGTTTTTAAATAAGATTCTTTAAATCCAATACTATTATAAGAATACTAAAAAATAATGTTAAATTTCTTAAATAGTAAACAAAAACACAGACTATTTTTGTACGAGCTTTTCGAGACAAGATAACGGGAAAAATATTTAATAGCTGTATGACATGAAATAACTAACATTAATAATTAATATTGTAATATAATTACATATGTCAGATGAAGTCAAGTCTTGGAATCAAAGTGAATGAAGACGTGTCAGTGTGATCTCATCTTAATCATACCTTAACCGTGATTTCACATTTTTGTTTTCTAAAAACCCCTTTTTAAGAGATTTAAGAGACCTTCTGTTCTAATTGCTTTGGCCAAAAATAAAAGAAATACCATCCATCCTACAAAGTACAGCCGCATTGCTGGCGTATTAAGAATGAAGGGGAAATTAAAGTTAATTTTATTTTACAATTAGTAGAAGCACTTATGTATATTTAAAAAAAATCATGAGTAGTTGTGATCATTATTTATAAGTCATATTTTTCATCTGAGACTTGGTCCCTAAATATATCTTTTTTATTTGTATAATTCATATCATTCTTTACACATTCAACTAACATTTTACGTATAATTCTATATATATTTTTATGATAAAAGCATCTGTATACTAAATTAATTTTAATGATTCTTTCCACTGCCTAACATAGTATGAATATAGTTCTGGTAACATACACGTACACTTATAAGTATGTGATAAATATCCATCTTAATTTGTAAGACGCCATCAATCCCACCCAACCAAAGGGTCTGAAGATAATGATGCTCCGGGTGCACTCGTCCCTAACGACCTTTATATTTAGGACAAGCCCTTCCCTTGTTTAATTAATTGACGGAAACGCCTTTGCATTTTTTGAATTCTAATTTATAAATACCATCTAACATTACTGAGGTTTAGTTGCTTCGTTACGAATTAATTGAGAAGTTCAACTCTATATTAGTTGAAGGGTGTGCATGTGGTGTGACAATCAGCTGACTTCTTACTATGTAGAGTTGGCACGTACTAAATACTAACAGTATATATGTATAATACGTAGCAAACATACGAGTACTAACAGTATGCGTTCATATTAAACACTTATCCTTAGCATTATCTTTATAAGTTATTTGTTTTTGTCTTTCAATTGTTTCTTTAATAGTAATTTTAATTATATATTTTATAATTTTTTATTCAGATGGGAAAAGTAATATACACATTTTCTACAAATTCTGCATTTCTTCTGCAATATTTCTTTCGCTTTAAATTTTTACATAATTTATTATTTACATTGTTACTAATGTACAATAGACCATTATTAGAAAAATACTGAAAAGATCACGTTCTTAGTGAGTCCGTTAAGTAGAAAACACTTTGAAATTTAAGGGTCAAGATATCGGTTGGCACGCCAGCTATTTCATTTATTCAGATGTCTGAAGGTCTCTCGTCTTCAGAATACCTATGGATGAATAAGAAGAATTTATATACACACTATATATAATATAATATAATATAAAATGAGCTTATTTTCACTTTTAAAATACTAGGAGTTTTTCATTGAAATATCAATTGAGTGATATGACTCATTTTATGATAAATATTTCTTCAATTATAATCACAAAAATTTCTTTTAATAACATTACTTTATAATATCAATAACATTAAAATGATTTTTAAAGTATATATATTTGAGTCATTGATATATTCTTTATCTAAAGAAAATCTCTACTGAAAATTTTTCCTCTTCGTTCTATATGCAGACAGTATAAAAGGCATATAAAAGGAGGGAAAATCTTTCGGATAAAAGTCGAGCTCCGAGATTTATTACAGCTGG